CGCCGTCGAAGCTGGCCCGGCCCGGCCCGTGGGGTGAGCTGCCCGGCAGCGTGGGCTGGCGAAGGGCGGTGTGGGCTCGCCCGCCGTCCCTCTGCCCCGGGGTTGGCGGCGGCCGTCCCGCCACGGAGCCCTGAGGCTGAGCCCCGGAGCGCGGAGGGGCCCCACGCGGGGCTGGGATGGGTGGGGGCCGCGTGGCGTGGGCCCGCCGCGCTTCGGGGACGGGCCGCGGGTGGGGTGGGGGCGGGCTGAAACATCGCTGTGATCTCCCACTCAAGCCCGTCTCCCGTGGAAAAATAACGCCGCCGGATCTCACCCGGCAAGTAGATGCGCCGGGAGAGCCCGTGGAAAGCGCTCCCGCGGGGATGAGCTGAGGGGAAAAGCAGCATCCACCCGCGAAAGCGGCCAGGCGGGGAAAACGCGGCCCGCCGGGGCCTCGCCTAGCCCCGCGGACCCACGGCGAGCCGACACGCGTGGAGTTACGGCGGCTCGCAAAGCGGGGGGCACTCGGAACCCCCCCCAGCGCCCCGGTGCCCGCCCGGGCCGCCCCGCCGCTCTTCCCGGCTGGTGAAAGGGGAGGTGAACCGTCCTGCTCAAACACCCGGGCTTTAATTACCGAAAACGTGGTGGTTTGGGTTGTTTTGGTTCTTTTTTTTTTTTTTTTTTTTTTTCCGCCCTCCCAGGACAGTCCAGTTCAAGATGGGAGCCTAGCTTCCTTTTCTGCGCCTAACTTTTCGAATCTCTCGACTAAGTCTTTCTCCGGACTGCCTTATTTTATTTTATTATTTTTTTTTTTTAAGGTAGCAGTAAATCCTCAGCAAAAAAAAAAAAAAATATAGCAAACAAATATCTTTCAAATTATTTTTACAGCTACAACTCGCGTCTTTTTATCATGTCGGTGCGCAGGAGCGATCAAAAGAGGATTTTTAAATTTTTTTTTTTTTGGGGGGCTGAAGTCAACTCTTATGTAATCACACTTACGGGCTATCTGCCTTGAAATCTATTCCCAATTTCTCTTTACACTCCTGCCCTCCTCGCTCCCGCTCCCCGGCCCTGTGCAGCTCCCCACCCCGCACCCCCAACCCCCCCCTCTAGCCTGGAGGGGCCGGGCCGGGCGGACCCGCCTCCCGCTGCCCTGTGCGGGTCTTTTGGGAAAAGCCGCCCCCTCCCCTCCCATCCCCGCACCCCAGCCGGCCCGGAGCTGGGGGAGAGGAGGGACAAGGGCCAGGCCTTTGACCCACGGAAGTCCCGGGTGGGAGGCTCTCCCGGCCGGCCCGGCTCCTCCAAGGACGGCGCTAAGGGGCGATGGGCCCCTTCGTTACCCTCCTCCCTTCCTCTTTTTCTCATCATCTCCCACCCCCCCGGGGGCATTAACTAGGCTTAATCTGCCAGCTCCATTTGAACCTCAATGGGAGTAAAAACAACAATTTACTCTCCTGCCACTTGCAGACAAAAGCGCTGGTGAAAAAGAGCATCGGCGGGTGGAGGAGGGGTGGAAGGAGAAATAAAGAAAGAAAAAAAAAAAAAATCTGGTTTGGGGGGATGTAGATGTGTGTGTGTGTGTGTGTGTGTGTGTGTGTGTGTGAGAAGAAGGCCCGGGACCCTGGAGGCTTCGCCGCCCTTCCTGGCATGGGGACGCGTGTGCCTGCCCTCCCGAGGGCCCACTCGGGTTCCCCCGAGGAGTGGAGGGGCCGTTTGCTCCTGGAGGCAGTAAATTTTCCCCCGACGTGGCGAGGGGGTGGCCCCGGGAGTTTTTCCCAGGCCGACAGGGCAGGTTTTGCTGGTGGCAGAGAGAAATTTCGGGGAGCGGCAGGGCAGCCAGGTGCTCGCCCCCTTTCCCTTTCTCCACGCGGGGCTGCCCGGCTCCCGGGGGACGCGCGGGGGCTTCTGCGGGCGTGGGGAGCCACGCCAGGCCCGACACACCGGCCCCACGGAGGGGAGGATGCCTGGCCGTGAGGAGCGGCGCGGAATCAGTGGGAGAAAAGCAGAAAATCGAGGAAAACGAAGCCTTACGGTGGACGGATCAAGGCTTGGGCACCCGGGGAAGGAAAAGAGGAGAAGGGTGTTAAAACGGCCCCCCCGGAGGGCGGGCTGAGCGCCCGCTTAGCTGCATATTGTTAAGCAAACGAAGCGCTCCACCTAAGAAAGTACCGAAATTTTATTGTGGTCGTTGTTTTGTTCCTTTGCTCAAGTGCTCGCAAAAGGCTTCTTGGCTCCTGCTGTATTCACATTACCGCTCGCCCACTTCTATCCGGGAGGTTATGTTGGGTTTGTTTGGGTTGGTTTATTTTTGGTCGGTTTTGAGTTTTTTTGGTTTTTTTTTTTTTTTTTTTTTTTTTTTTTTTTGTGCTTTTTTTTTTTTTTTTGAAGACCGATAGCCAACAGAGCCGAGAGGAACCAAATAGTTTCCAAAAGAAATCAGCTTTCCAAATATCTACCAAAAAGATGAAATCAAATCCAGAGGGCAACAGAAGCCTCCGCAGACAATAACCTCGTTAGAGCAAGACCCGAGTCTCGTTTCTGCTCGCTTTGGTTTCTTTAAACCCCGTGGAAGGGAGAAAAAAAAAAAAAATAAATGAAAAGGGGTGTGTGTGGCAGGGGGAAACCTAGGGGTTGGCTTCATGGCTAGCCTCAAACTCTCTGCAGATGAAGCGACGGTCGCCTTTTTGATTTCGCTAGCCACTTTCCTCCCCGCTGGCAGGCAGAGGCGGGGGGGGGAACCGGCGGCCGGTGAAGCCCCGTTCTGCCGCCGGCGAGCAGGGCCCCCCCGCCGGGAAAAAGCCTTTTTTTTTTTTTTTTTTTTTTTAAATGAATTATTTGGTTGGGTTTCTACCTTTTTTTTTTTTTTTTTTTTTTTTTTTATCTCACTGCTCGTGGCTCCTTTCTCTACCTGTCCCCGACGCCGCAGGTTGTTGTGCTGGCGAATTGGGGGGGGGTAAAAAGAGGGGGGGGGGGTGTGTTGTTCGCTGGCGATATGCTAATGAGGCGGTGAGGCTGCGGGGTGGAGGAGAGGGAGAAGGGAAAAGTTCCCACCATTAGAGGGAGATCTCCGAGCGCGGAAGGGAGCGCAGCGCCGCGCAGCGCCGCGCCGCCCCCGCCAGCCCCGCGCCGCCCCGCCGCAGCCGCAGGGAGAGGCAGGGAGAAGCAAACCCCTCTCTCCCGCTTCCACGCCAATCCATGAAAATGCTTTGGAAGCTGACGGATAATATCAAGTATGAGGAATGCGAGGTAAGCGCTTCCCCCCACCCCCCCTTTTTCTCCTCCCCACCTCGGCCGCCGCAGCTGCGAGCGGGAGCCGGCAGCGTCCCTCCCTCCCTCTCGCAGTTTTCGTTTGGGAAAACTTCTGCGCCTTCGCCAGGTTTCCTGGAGGTGGAGGGGGGCCGGGGTCCCCCCGCCAGCAACTTCGGGGCTCGTGGAAACCCAGCTTTGTCGGAAGTGTCTGAGGAAAGGCGAGCAGGACCCAGCAGCGGTCTGGGCTATAGGTAGATGCTCCGTAGATAAAGCTCTGTAGGATGCTACACTCATCCATATGGATGGCTGGCTGGCTGAATGAATGGACGGCTGAATGAATGAATGAATGAAAGGGCAAAGAGACAAAGGGAAGAGAATTATTCCTACACACCAGGTACCTGAGGCATCCCAATAAATTGGCTCAAGACCGACGCTTAAACTCAGCCTTTTCGGTGTAGCTGCGGGTTGATTAAGCCGAGCCGCACAAATTTGCAGAGGTCAGCTGCCGAAGTGGAAGCGCGGGTTTGGGAGCGGTGTTCCCCCAGCCTCCTAGTTTTCAGGGCCACGCTCCCACGGCTTCGAGCAATAGTATTTTAACTGCTTGGGAAAAAAAAAAAAATAAAATCCACCTAATTTGGTTTCGGAGCCGCTCAGCACAGATTGTGTGCGCGCATCTCTCCGTGTGTCTGTGTGTGCATCCATATTTTTAGAAAGAGGCGAGAGTCTTTTAATCTGACAAAAGAAGAAGAGAAGAAAGAAGAGCGATGCCCAGGACCCATGCCTGGTCTCAAACCAACGAATGCTATTGTCGCCCGTTTCGCAAAAGTTGCCTGTGCAGTGCGTTTCAACCGCGCAATAAAGGACTCCACTTTGCAAATGAATGCAGTGATTTGGTCGTGACCCACGCGGGAAGGTCGCCCCAGCCCCGGCGGAGCCTTGCCGAGCAGCGTGTGCGGGGCGAAGGGGGGGCGGGGGGTGGGGGCTACGCTCCCATCCGACCCTGCCGCTGCTTTGGGAGATGCTGTAGTTTAGGACAGGGACCGAGGAGTCGCCAGACTCGCCGCCGGCTACGTGGTTTGGTGGTTTAGTCCCGGATCGAGGAGTTTGGGATAAAGCTCTCTCCCGGTGCGGGACTTGAGCTCTTAAATCCACCCGCTGGCGGATGTTTGATTTCTAGGAATGAGGTGTCAGGAGTGTTGTTTCTTTTTTTTTTTTTTTTTTTTTTTTTAAAAAGCCGGAAAAAAAATTAATATGTCTCTTCCTCAGCTGCATTTCTGGAGGAAAGCGTGTCTCTCTCCCTCTCCCTCCCCCCCAGGATCGGTGTTCAAGTGTGCACACGTGCGCGCGTGTGGATTTGATGGCAAATGGCTTTTGTTGCCGAGCGCTAATGGGACTTTGCACCGAGGTGTTACCGAACACGGGGGGAGCCTGGGCCGCTCTGCCGGGCTTCTGTGCGTGCGGGCATGGGTGGGTTTCCCCCCTCCCCCTCCCCCCCGTTTTCCTCGGGAGGGGATGCGGGGTGACTTGTAGGGAGGAGGGGAAAAAAGGGTGGCTGTATCCTGCCGGGGATAAGAGATGCCTTTTAAAGGAAAAAAAAAAAAAAGTATTAAAAAAAAAAAAAAAAGGGGGGGGTGGTGTAAAGAAAAGCGGAGTGAAAGAGCGGCGCGGCGCGCCGGGGGGTCGGGGGCAGGCGGGCGGAGGTTGCGCGGGCCGCGGAGCGGTGCTTGCCGGAGGGAGGGAGCTGTTTGGGAGTTGCACAGCCAGTCCGACGGGTTGCGCCGGAGCCCCGGCTTGTCTGGGCCGGGAGAAGCGCTCGCCTTGCCTTTTTTTCCCGGCTCCTTCTCCCCCCTTCACGTCCCTCCCGCCCTCCTTCCCTCCCCGCCTCGCCGCCTCCTGCCTTTTCCCCCCCGTCTTTTCCCGAATCCTCCGAGAGGGGGGCGGCGGGGAGCCCGGAGGATGCTCCTTGGGCTCCCCCCCCCCCCCCCCCAAAATAAAAAAACCCTGGGCGCCCGCCGGCTTCGGCGCTGGGCTTGAACCGGAGGAGGAGAAGGAGGAGGAGGAAGGCTGACACCCAGAAGGGGAGACACCCAAAAAAAAAAAAAAAAAAAAAACCAAACTTTCCCAGCCGGTTTCCGGGGCACGGAGGCGAGCCGGCTTGGCGGGCAGCGGCGTGGGGAGCCCCTCGGCGGGGCGCCGTCGAGGCATGGACGGGGGGGCGGCGGGCGGCCCCACGGAGCCCACCCCGCGCAAAAGCGGCGGCGGAGGGGCCGAGGGCGGCAAGAGCCAAGGCGGGAGCCAGCAGCCGCTCTTCTCCCTGGGTTTTGAGGCCGGCTACGCGCAGCAGCCGCAGCCCGAGGTGCGCCCATGAAGGACCGCGGGGCTGGGGGGGTGGCAACGGGGGGGGGGCGGGGGGCGGCGGCAAGGGGGGAAGGGAAGGGAAGGGGAGGAAAGGGGGGATCCCGCGCCCCCTCCTCTCTCTCCTTCAGCCCGTCTCTCCCACCCCCACCTCCTCCGCACCCCCCTCCTGGCTCCCACCCTCTCCCTCTCTCCGGATCTCTTTCTCTTTCACTTTTGCATGCCCTGCAACCTTTTAAAATGTTGCCCCTTTCCTGTGATTCGTCAGACGCAGCAGCATGTCCCCCCTCTCTCTCTCTCCCGCTCCCTCTCTCTCCCTTTTTGTCTCTCTCTCCCTCTCCCTCTCCCCCATCTCTGATTAGATACACTGATTCTTCATTCAATGGACGTCATTTAGAACAGGCTCTGCCTTGAGTTGCCTTCTCGCTTCACGCTCGATTTCCAGCCATTCTTCCCTTATTAAGTGTTCGTGTAATATTAATAGTCATGAATATCTGCTATTAGGAGTCTCCAAGAAGGCAGCAGATCTGTTATTAGGAGCTCAAGTGAAGCAGCAGCTAAGTCAAAGGAGAAAAAGAAAGAGACAGAGGAGAATAAAAAAAAAAAAAAAAGGATTAAGAAACACACACACACGCTAAAACCAAACCAAAACAAAAAGGAAAAAAAAAAAAAAAAACAAAACCAAAACAAAACCTCAAAACAAAAAAAAAAAAAGGAAAAAAAAAAAAAAAGCAACCAACTTTGACTCCTCACACCACGCCAGGATAGAGAGCTCGCCTTGGCAACACCCGATGAAGGGCAGCAGAGATCGGTGCAAGTTCTGATGGATTATAGTGGCGCGCCCGCGGAGCAGGAGCAGCCCCGGCGCCCCGGTCCCGCCGCCCGCGCTTAGCGCCGGGCTCCGGCAGCGCTCCCTCCGCGCCCGCGCTGCGCCCGCACCCGCGGGGCTCCGCCGGGGGCTGCGCGCTCCGCCGCTCTTTTTCTTCTGCATTTTTTTTTTATTATTATTTTTTTTATTTTTTTTTTCTACCTTGACTTGTAACCCCCGACTCTTCGCAGATGTTAGTACACAGTTTTTCGGCTATGGTGAGTTGCTTCACGTTTCTCTCGGAGGGGGTCTGGTGTGTGCTGGGTGTTGCTATTGTTGTCGCGGTGGCGGTGGCGATCGGGGTTTTGCACCCAGCTTTCCGGAGAGGGCTGTTTTGTTTTGTTTTGTTTTGTTTTTTTTTTCTTCTTTCCCCTTCATTTTTATAAATTCGCTGGTTTACCTTTTTATTATTATTATTATTTATTTATTTATTCCGTTCTCTCTTTTCTTTTATCTCTCCCCCCCCCGCCTTTTTATTTTTATTTTTTTTGTTGTTGTTGTTGTCTGCTTTGAGCGAACGGCAAAAAGCTTTTCTTGAACCCTACCGCTTCGATTCCTTCACCCCGCCACCTGCAAACGGGATATTTTCAGCTTTCTCCTTTCCCTTTTTCGGGATCGTGGCTCCTTCTCTCCTCCTCCTCCGTGGAGGCCATGCCTTTTTCCCCGGACATACCTGTGGGCTCTCCTGCCCGGCTGCGGGAGCGGCAGAGCCGTACCGAACCCCCCGGGCGCTTTTGGGTGCCTCTTGCCCGTCGGGGCGGTGGGGCTCGGGGTGCTGCTCCCCCCCGGCTGCCCACCGCATTCCTCCGCTGCCCCCCCCTCCCTTCCCCCCCCCCCCCCCCCCCCCAACTCCGCTCCCAAATCTGCCGCTGGCGAGCGGGGAGCTCGGCAGGGCATCGTGCGGGGGGGGTGGTGGCACGACTCTTCCCGTAGATGGGGGACCGTTTGGCCTCGAAACATTTGTAAAACTAGCGGGGGGAACGACCGGATTGTTTAGAGCCTTATTTCGGCGTTTTCTGGTAACAAAATGGCAGTGGGCTTGGATTTTCCAGGGTTTTCTTGGGATGCGTTACCGGTAATGCAAGCGACGGTATTTGTCTCGATTCTGTCCAGGGCCGGCAGGAGGATTTGGGGTCGTGGTAGAATTATTATTTTACTAATGCCCGCTTGTGAATTATTCTTTCTATTTGCGGGAAATGCCTCCTCCCGAAATGCCGGGGCGCGATCCGCTGGGCATCCACGCTGTATCGCCGCAATGTTTTATGAATTATTACAAGCAGTCCTGTTATAATTATTGCTATTATCGCTGTTATCATTATTGCCGTTATTATTATTATTTAAAACGCGAGACTGCCTCTTAATTGTGCGCGGAGGGAAACGGGAGGCAGAGAAAGCCCCAGATTTGCTCTTTCTCCGCCTCGGAGCGGACGAATCGCCCGGCTTTGCCCGATAGGTGAAATTCGCCAGCCGGTTTTGAGGAGAAACAGTTTGATTTTTATCTTTGTTTTTCTTTTCTCCCCCTCCTTCTCCCTCCTCCTCCCTCCCCCCCCCCCCCCCCACGCCCCCCCCCCCCCTTTCCCCCCATACCTCAGGAGCGCCACGACAGTACCAGCAACGGGACAGCCCGGCTACCCCAGTTGGGGACCGTGGGTCAGTCTCCCTACACCAGCGCCCCGCCGCTCTCCCACACCCCCAACGCCGACTTCCAGCCCCCCTACTTCCCCCCCCCTTACCAGCCCATCTACCCCCAATCTCAGGACCCCTACTCCCACGTGAACGACCCTTACAGCCTCAACCCCCTCCACGCCCAGCCGCAGCCCCAGCACCCAGGATGGCCGGGACAGAGGCAGAGCCAGGAGACGGGGCTGCTCCACACGCACCGGGGTTTACCCCACCAGCTCTCCGGGCTCGACCCACGCAGGGACTACCGGCGGCACGACGATCTGCTCCACGCCCCGCACGGGTTGGGCTCGGGGCTGGCCGACCTGCCCCTCCACTCCATCCCCCACGCCATCGAGGACGTGCCGGTAAGCAAAGGGGGGATGCCCCTCGGCCCCCTCCCCGCGGGAGCTGAACTTCGGGAGGAGGGAGGGGGGACACAAACATCCCCCCCCCGCGCCAAAAAAAAAAAAAAAAAAAAAAGAAAAAGGGGGAGGGAAGAAGAGAAACCTCCCCCCAGGGAAAGGCGAAGCCCCCACCTAGAACAATAGGTTCTCGCAGCTCGTCCCTGCCCTACGCCTCCCCGCTAACACGCCCGCTAAAATATAAATAAATCAAATTACTGTCATCATTAACAATATCTTTCCTTCTCAATGACAATAAGCTGTTACGATTGGAAGAATATATAATATCACCACCGGGCCGTGCATTTGGGGATTTCTCACTGCCTTGGGAAAAACACAAGTCTGAAACGTGAGATCTCATTAAATGTCCTCCCAGGCAAATGTAAAGAGGGGAAAAAAAAAAAAAAAAAAGTGGGTGAAAGTGGCCTAAGAAGGAAAAATCAGTTTCCCGTGATCAAGAAATTGGCATATGGGATAACGACATCCAAAGTTGTAAGAAGGTACAGGCAGATCCTCTTCTCTAAAGGAATTAATTGGCAAATCAGGGCAGAGGCACACTGAAATGCTTCCGCCTTCTTTTAGCAGCGGTGCAAAGGGATGACCTCATAAATCATTAGCTATAGGTTATCAAATTCGAGCCAGACCTGCTACACCCTATATTAAATTAGATGTTGGGAGGCTATTGGAGGATGCGTTATTTGGGGGGCCTAATTCTGTTATCGATAAATAGGGATTAAAAAAATGATTTCTAATTAAGCATGACATTAGTGCAGTGGCTATTTACAAAGCAAGCCGGGGCTATTGTTCGGTTAGGAAAGTGGCCTTATGCAACGTGATAGGTCGTGATCAAAGTTCATCTTTCTGGGTTTCTCCTCGAAAATGGAATTAGAACATGGCAATAAATTTATTAAAGCCCACAGAGCTCGTGCTGAGGGACTGAAGCTGCTCGACTTGCAGGAGGAAAGAGGAGGAGGGAACTGTGGTATCTGGATGTGATTTTTGCTGAAATGCCATCCCAAATTACAGGATCAAATATTACAACAATATATTCGCTGACAGTTTAATGAGTACAGTTTCGTGTTGCAAGGATAATGTTCAGATGAACTTACCTATTTTTGGGGGTCATTTTGAAATCTTTTGTAAATTATACTCGGGGAAAATACTGAATTTATTACAGCCCTCATCTGGCTAAATTAGCCACAGAAAATTGCTGGTTATGTTTAGCAGTTTTGCAATAAACGCATACGTTTCCCGAAGTGGAGGATTTAGTAAGCAATTTGGATCCGTTAAAAGCAGGTCGATTCTTTAAACTTGATATAAAATAACATGGAGGCAATAGTAAGAATAAACTAATTTGTTGACTGCAAGCCCCTGATTGCTGTAGGAGGAACATGACCTAAAATGTTCTCTTGAATTCTCCCTCCTCAGTCGTGCTCTGTGGCAGTGGGCTGATTCGGGAAGCCTCCTCTGCAGATCTATGAATTAATAGCATTGCTATACTTTGTGAAAACCAAATGCCATCTGGTTTAAATCCTTAAACCAGCCCAGCCAATTTTATTTTTTTTATTTTTATTTTTCTCCGTAAAACTGAATCAGCAGGCTGCATGAAGGAAAGCATAAAAATAAGAGGATGTATCTTTTAAGGGTGTTTTATCTAGTTATGAAAAAAAAAAATAATTTACAGAAATCTGGGTCGGGAAAGGGTCGGTTTTGAATTTTTCCGTTGCTGCAACAGTTAACCTTTAATAAAAACGACCGCTAAATACTTAAGAAAATCAAGTAGACGGTGAAAATTATTTAATCATAAATATCTCTGTGGGATTTTAAACTTAACAGTCCTCCCTGTATGGAATATGTGTAGAAATAACACAAATAAAAGTATTATGCCACACTACATTTACTTTATGGGTTTAGGGTGCATGCATAAAGGGATCATATTTCCCCATATAGTTAAAACACAAGAACTGCAGCAGTAGTCATTTCTGAACATTTCTCAATTTAATTATACTTAAATCCAGAAGCACTTTAGGCAAGTTACAAATGAGAGCATTGAGTATAATAAAACCTGTAATAAAGCAACTTAGTACCATCCACCCGGAATCATTGAGATCAGGCACAATTAACAGGAGCATAAATCCAAGACAGAATGGAAAATGTTAGAATCAGTATTATTGTTGGACAAAGACTAGAGAAGGAAGTAATAGTTTTTTAAATGGTAATGCCTGGGTTTTGTAACGATTGCGAAATCTTCTATCTCAGCAGCACTGGTGTTAATTTGTAAACACAGCCAGACATTATATTGCCTGTCAGTTTTTGGAATTAGAAAACATGATTTCATTTGACTTTCTAATCACGTCGTGACTCTGCCGCGCGAACCCCAGCTGTAGCCGCGACCGCGGAACCTGTGAGGGGACAATAGTGGGGGGTGCGTGGGGCAGCGTGGGTGTCGTGTCCCCCCCCCCCCCGGCGCTGCACCGGTCCCGGCTCCTTTGTGTTTTCCCTCCCGCGGGCGCGGGAGCCAGCGCAGCACGGGGAAGGGCCAGGAGGGAGGGATGGTTGGGGGGACCCCGCAGGAGCTGGAGGCTACTCGGTGATTTATTCTTTTTTCCCGATTTCTTGAGGAACTGGGGAAGAGCGGGGAGGGCTGCAGGATTCCTCCCGATAAAGGAAATCCCCCCCCTCCCTCCCCAAAACCCCGGCTCCCCTCCGCCTCGGGATCTGTTGTTTCACTCCCTGCACCGTGCCCAGGGACAGCGTGGAGGCGGGGGGGGGGGGACACACAGATCCAACTTCTCCCGCACCCCATCCCACCCCCAGCCCCTCCCTGCCTTTTGTTGTGCTTGTACATTGACATCCCCGCCTGTTCCTTTTGTTGCAGCACGTAGAAGACCCCGGTATTAACATCCCAGATCAAACTGTAATTAAGAAAGGTAAGCCGTTTCCTTGCACATACCAAACGTGTCGTCACAGGCTGGGGACTGCTCGAAGGGAGGACTTACCCGGCCTCCCCCCACTCCTCCCCCCCCCCAAAGCCCCCCCCCCCAGCCCCGGGCTCCTTCCTCTGGCCCCTACTGTTAGCCCAAAGGTTGGAGGTAGAGAAAGAAAACGGGCGATGCGAGTTGAAATCCGCCCTTTTAAATGGCCATGTTCGCCGGGTATTTTAATTATCGTTGTCGTTAACGAGAAAAAAAAAAAAAACACGTTAGCAGACGATGGAGAAAATCCGAGCCGGTATTTTAGTGTATTAGCGAACAATTCGGTTTCGTGGTTTGCCCCGCGCATCTGGCTGAGTGGTGGGGTTGTAATCGTTGTTGGTAAACTAGGCTGTGAAAGAGAAAACCTCGTTCCTCCTTCTTCGGGTTTTCTTATTCAAATCGCGGCGGCGCTGAGGTGGGCTGCTGGCGGACAAGGGGCGAGTTTCTGGAAACTGGTGTCGGTCGGTCAGGACGGTTTGGTTTTCGTTGGCTTTGCGCACCGGCTTCGCTTGGAATTGAATTGCTCGGAGGCCGGTCCCCCCCCCGAACTGCGCGAAATATTTATGGCGTGTTTTCACTCGGTTCTCTTTTTATCCCGTCTGTCTTTGGACGACCGAAGGATTCGGGAAAGGTGGCACGGGGCGGTTTGCAAAGGAGGTTCTCGGTGGGAAGCGCTTGGTTTGCGTTTGGATCCTGCTGTTGGGAGTAAAACTTGCAGGGCTGAGCTCCTGCCTGCTCCGAGGGGTGCCGCGGCTGTGCAGCCGCCCGGAATTTGGGTACCCCGGCCGCCACCGGAGCAAGGTGCTGAATACAGCCGCTCTCCCTCGAACCCTAAACGCTCTACAGCCAGCGAGCTCGAAGTTTCATCCCCCCCCCCCCCGCCCCGTAAAGCCTTTGTCACGTCAAATTAGATGTGCAAGGGATAAATCTTAAGAGATGCTCTTTCCAAGTCGACATGATAATTGGCTCTTTTATTAGTAATCTCAAGAGTTCGTTTAACTCCTGTTGTATCTATTAGCCTTCCCAGAGCTATTAATGTCACAAGTGATCTATCCAAAACGGAGAGAGCCCCCCGCGCTCAGTTGGAAGAGGAGTGGGGGTAGGACGGGGGGGGGGGGGGGGGCGGGGAGAGGCGGCCGGGAGCCCGGCGGGCACCGCATCCCAAACCAGCGGCTCGGTCCCTGCCCCCGGCCCCCCACCCCCCGAACTGGGCCGACCCTCCCGAGGAAGGACCGGGCTTTATTTCGGAGAGCGACCGGCGCTTTAACAAACAGGCCCCCCCCCCCAAAAAAAAAAAAAAGTGTGCGCCTGCTCCGGCCTGGACGGGCGTTGGGGGGGGGGGGATGCCGGCTTTAAATTTCGTTGCTGCGGGTCGTCCCGCTGCCTCCCTGCTCCCCCCTCCTCGGTGAGCGGAGGGGTGCCGCCGGCCGCCCTGCCCCCGCTCCCCAAACCTTGCCCCACAGACGCGGTGTGGGGCAGTTCGGGTGCCAGCAACACACCCCCCCCCCCCCAAACTTCCCCGTCTCCCCGCCCGCTCCTCACCCTCACCTCCCTGCTCCTCCCTCCCTTGCAGGCCCCGTGTCCCTCTCCAAGTCTAACAACAACGCCGTCTCCTCCATCCCCATCAACAAGGACACGCTCTTCGGCGGGGTGGTGAACCCCAACGAGGTCTTCTGCTCGGTGCCGGGCCGCCTCTCGCTGCTCAGCTCCACCTCCAAGTACAAGGTCACGGTGGCGGAAGTGCAGCGGCGCCTCTCGCCGCCCGAGTGCCTCAACGCCTCGCTGCTGGGCGGAGTGCTGCGGAGGTGAGGGGCGGCGCCGGAGAGCGCCCCGCGGCCGGGCCGGGAAGAGGAGGAGGGAGGAAGAGGAGGGAGGAGGAAGGAGGAGGAAGGAGGAGGAGAGCCCACGCGAGGCGGCTGTGGGGGGGGGGGGGGGGGGGAGCGCGGCGCCCGCCGCTAGGGGTCGGTGCGCGCGCGCGCGCGCGGCCGCCGAGGCGACGGGGTGGGGGGGGGAGAAGAACCGCTGTAACCATGGCAACGCGCAGCCTTCTGTGGGGCTTCCCCCCCCCTCCCCGTGTCCCGCGTCGTGGAGCACGACACGTGTGTGGGAACCATCACACCCCCCCCCCGTGGCACCCCTGTCTGGAGTGGGGAGGTTTACCCGTGGGCACCCCCACCCTGGCAATTAGGCAGCACCCAGGCAGGGAATAACCATCCCAGGATTAATTAAGCCCGCTCCCACCTCCACGGTCCCGGCTCTGCCGAAGAGCCGTGGATGGGTCACAGCGGGGTGGGTGGGAGGGCAGCGATGCGCCGTGGCGGTCACAGGGGGGGTTGTGGAAGGCTGGCCACCCTACAAATCAGTTTCCTCCCCCCCTGTAACGCCCTGCGCTGTGGGGAGAAGCTGCCCCCAGATCCCGGGCATTTTGGGGTGCCTGGGGGGGGGGAGTCCACCCCAGAGCTCCCTGCCAGCCAGGGTGGGCTGACTCGCACCTTAGCCCTAAACATGGAGCCACCCAAAGCCCCATCCTGAGACTCAGCTTTCAGCAGCGCTCTTCAGTCCCCCCAAAACCATTTACACCCACCCCCCCCCCCCAAAAAAAACCAAAAAACCAAAACAACGCCTTTACTCCCCTCCGCAATGTGTGTCGGGGTGATGTGTGGGCAGGAGCCAAAGCGGGAGCGGGTGCCCCCCGCCAGCACCGTTTCTCAATGCCTTTCTGTGCCGGAGCAGGGCGAAGTCTAAAAACGGAGGGAGATCTCTGAGGGAGAAACTGGACAAAATAGGATTAAACCTGCCGGCCGGGAGGCGTAAAGCTGCTAACGTTACCTTGCTCACGTCGCTGGTGGAGGGTAAGTGACTCGAAAGAGCTCATTTGGAAAACGTGCCTATTGCTTTTGCCTAATGGGAGAAGACTTGCGTTGGTTTGGGGTTTTTCGTCCAAGTCAGTGCTGCTTGTTGGAAATTGGAAGGGCGTTATTTTCTCTGCCTCAGAAAAAAAAAAGTTAATGGTGTGCCTTTTTGGTTTTAACCTGAAACGGACTTGTGTGAGTCCTGCGGACTCAGCAGTGCATTCTACCATTTATTTGCTTTTAAGTCTCTTAAGCTGGACGTTTTCAGGGCCCCATCTCGTTCCCTCACTCAAGTGAGTAATCCCTCGCCAGAGTAAGCGGGTCTCAGTGGGAGTGGCGTGGGAAGGATCCCTGCGAATGGGGGCTGTGGGCTCAGGCCTGTAAGAGGCCCCGGAGCGTTGGGTTGGAAGTCGCGGGGAGCAGAACCCCTCCAACCCTTCGCTGCTGCCCTTCTGCTGCAGGTGGACAACCAAGCAATTTTAAATGTCAGAAACGGCAGCTACTTTAAGTTTGTGCTCCCTCGCAGCCCGCAGCCACAGAACAGTAAATCATTTAAGTTTTCTGACATCTGCATTTGAGAAATGCGTGACCATTACTTCCTGAATTAATTTGGGAATCCTTGACCTCAGCCATGAATTAATGGTGTCCTGAAAGCCTCAAAGTTGCACCACCACCCCCCACCCCCCCACTCCCTTTTGGTTCTCATTTTCAGAACACGTGTTCCCTTGGCTATATCGTTCTCCTCAACTTTGCTCTGGCCAGAAAAGGTGCAACTTATTTTTCATTTCCTTGGGATGCCCTGTGCTCTCCGAACCAGGAGGTGGGAAGCCCAAGAGTTTGCAGTCATTTAGTTTCGAAGCAGTTGCTGTGTCGCGCTGACTGACACAAAGTAAGCCCAAGGCCAGCAAACAGATCCTCCTCCTTTCCCCTCGCTTATGGGTTCGACTGTATTTCAGACCGGTTCAGTCTGCAAAGCGCTTTTAAGCTCAGCCTGGGCTGTGGAGGTTTAGCTTGAGTTTGGTTGTGTAGGAGGGAATTTGTTGCTGTGTTTTGTTGTCGCTTTGCATTCTGCGAGAAATGTTTCAGGTTCAAAGGGATGGGGAAAGAAGTGCTGCGCAATGCTAGGCTTCATTTTTATTTTTTTTTTTTTTTTCAGCATCAGGATTAGTGACCGCACTGTATTTATACTGTGTAAAAATTACTGTGTCTTCATGTTTTTGAAAAGGGCTTTGCAATTGCGTGGACGTGCAGTAGTAAAAAAATGACGAGGGGAAAAACTTGTAAAAAGTCTAGATTTGGTAGACGCTTAACAGTATTTGTGATGTTAATGAATATGGAGAAGGTTTTATGGTAATCTATTGTTCTGTTTGGCTTTCACATACAATGGCTTTAAAAGAATGATTTCTAAGGAAAAAAAAAAAACAAAACAACCCACCAAAAAAAACCCATCAGAGGCCGGATCTCCAGATAACTTCGTGATGGTGGCTAATTTTGGGGGGGGGGATGATAGTATAAACATTGCTGGGGCTTTGAGTCCTGTAGCGATGAGGCAGTTTCTAGAGTACTGTTATTGTTTATGATCCGCTCCATTTTATGGAAACAAGCTCACTGGACTGAGGCTTTGAAGCTCTAATTGGCGCATGCGTTCTTCCGGAGCTAGAGCTAATGGCAGGAAGCCCTGCAGTAAAAACCAACTGGTTCAGGAAATTAAAACCAAAGATTTGAAAATCAACAAAACAGACAGACTCGGTGGAATGACCCTAAAATTCTCATGGTTAATCGTTTGGGGGTGAACATATAATTATATGCGATCAAGTTAAATTTTAAACACTTAGCTGTTTAATGCATTTTATTTAGAGGAGCTCTAGGAGTAATTATGATCAATATTAATCATTGATGCATTGCAAAAGAATATAGAAGTGGCTGAGGCAAACAAACATTTCTAGAGTGAATAGCTGTGAATGAAATGCACGTAAATGACTGCGTATAGGTACGGCTATGTAAATCTAAGCACAGGTTCCAGGTGGATGGAGCCTGCCTGTCTAAAAGTATCTGTTAGTCAACGTAAACTTTAAAAAATTCTTATGTGACATTTCACTTGTAACGACTGTCATGAAAACACACATTTGCATTGCCCTGGACTGAAGCAAAGAAAACTCCTGCGAGATAAGATTTGATTGGCATTTCTTACCCTACCTTTTTTCAAAGCAAAAAAAAAAAAAGTCCAAGCCTTTTAGAAGAAAAGACCTGGTAGAACGTAGTGCTTTTTTATTTTTCTAATGGATTTTAGCCTCTGCGTGATGTGTACTGATGAGCTGTGTGTTTCCCTCCCATCCCCACCCGTGCCTCCCTTTTCAGGAGAAGCAGTACATCTCGCTAGAGATTTTGGGTACGTTTGTGAGACAGAATTTCCTGCCAAAGCAGTAGCTGAATTTCTCAACCGACAACATTCCGATCCAAACGAGCAAGTCACAAGAAAAAACATGCTTCTAGCTACAAAGTAAGACATTGAACTTTTTGGCATGTTGCTCAGAAGTGAGGGGAGGGCGACAAACCCGGGTTTGGGGCTTTTATGTGTGAGAATGTTTGCCGCACACGTACCCAGTGGCTGGTGGCTTTGCAGATTGTGAGGGTGTGCATTTGCTCCCCTGCTATAGGAGAACACTATAACCCAGCGTGGTTTCCATCAGGCCAGTTTGTGCAGATTACCTTGAAAGCGAGTCGTGAAAATTGTGGGTGGATGTTTAGTTAAAGAAAAAGCAGTCATTCTTCAGAGCAAATCATTTTCCGGGCCTTTTCACTTAGCTTATCAATTTAGGTAGAAGGGGAAGGCTTCCCATTGACAGTAAAATAAAACTGGCACATTAAACTGATTCCAGTTCATTAAAATCAGCAATGGTTCTTTCTGCCTAAGCAGCTCTGTTACTTAGTGAATATAGGGATATTAAAAATATATTTTAAATGACAATCTGTACGCAGTTAAAATGCTAGTGGAGTTTATCATTGGTGGGGCTGCCTAGACTTCCAGGTGGTGCGCGAAAAGAAAATGATTGTTTTGATATGTTCTCTGGAAATTAAAAGGGTTGTTTAGTAGCCCCTAATTACCAGTGGAGGTGTCACCAAAGGGCACAGTGCCAGAGGGCGCAGGCAGAAGATGGGAGCTGCTTTATGGCTGGAAGACATTAACGCGGGTTTTGGAATACAAACTCTTTCAACACGCCTCTGAGCTCTCTGGCTGCAAGGTGTGTTATTTCCCCAACCATTTGTGCAGCGAGTGGATGGCATAACCTAACTTCTGCGCCGTGCCCTCGTATCCTCTCTTCCCACCTCCCTGGAAGGAAATTTCCAGACCCCAGTTAGCGTCAGCCTTCCCCTCTGTGGGAAGGTCCCCTTGGATTTGGAGGTATAGATGTACGTACATAAATGTTTCAGGATACCCTAATTTAAAGCCTCGGTTCCCCTCTCGGCCCTTGCCCCTCTTTCTTCCCGACACATGGGCGTGTGTTGGCTTTGCGAAGGAAGGGGCCCGCGCCTCGCTCCAGTTCCAAATAGAAAGAGGGTCTTCTGAGAACGTAGATAAATCCCTGAACCTCCCTTTGGGTATCGCACCTCACCTATTCCCTTCCGCCCTGCCGGGGAACTTTTAAACCGCACGTCTGCTCCAAACCCCAGCGCAGCAGGGGTGCGTGCTGGGGGGGGGCTGTGCCTGTGTGGGTGCCTGTAGTGTGTCTGTCTGTCTGGCCAGGACGTGAGGCGAAGGGAGGAGGTTTGTGCGTGCCGGGGAAGCGTGAGAGTTAGGGGGAAGGATGCGCCGGGAGGAGAGAGGAGAGGCGGGAGAGCGCGTCTGCGCTCGGGGGCAGCAGCCCCCTAGGTCCAGGGGGCTTGTGTAATCTAGCAGGGAGCACGCGCAGGCTTTGCTGCTGCCAGTGATGGTTCATTTCTCTCTCTTCCGCCTCCCCTCCCTCCTGTCTCTCTGCTCCATTTGTGCTACAGACAGATCTGTAAAGAGTTCACCGACCTGCTGGCTCAGGACCGATCTCCCCTGGGGAACTCGCGGCCCAACCCCATTTTGGAGCCGGGCATCCAGAGCTGCCTGACCCACTTCAACCTCATCTCGCACGGCTTCGGGAGCCCGGCGGTGTGCGCTGCCGTCACCGCCCTGCAGAACTATCTCACCGAGGCGCTCAAGGCCATGGACAAAATGTACCTCAGCAACAACCCCAACAGCCACACAGACAACAGCACCAAAAGCGGCGACAAAGAGGAGAAGCACCGAAAGTGAGGATCCCCCCCCCCTCCCCGCCCCTGCCTCCACCCCGCTCCCCCGACACTCCTCTCCCTTCCCCCTCGCAGCCCATCGATCCATTTCATCTCCCTCCTCCCTCTCCCCTGCACCCAGCACCCCAGGCTACCGCAACAGAATGAGCATCCTTCTGCCAATCCTGTTCTCTGACTCTGCGGGACAGCTTTGCCCTCTCCCCACACCCCTTCCCAGCATCCACATTTCCATTTGCTCCCACTTAACTTACCCCCGCCCTCCGTCCCTGCTGCCACCATCGTTTTACCCCAGTTTGGAGCCCAAGAGAACAGAACAGGGGGACGGAGCCAGCAAAGAAAAAAAGTTCTGTCTTGAGTTTGTGAACTTTTTTTTAAATAAAACAAAAGGAGGAAAAAAAAAAACAAAACAAAACAAAAAACAAAACAAAACAAAAAAAAAAAGAACTTTTTTTTTTCTAAAAATATATTAAAAATTAAAAAAAAAAAAAAAGAAATAAATAATACTTAAAAAATTCTATGAGCTTCACCGGACTGAATCACCACCTTCCCTTACATAAACTTCAGTTAAGATTGTAGCCATATTAAAAATGAAAAAAAAAAAAAGGCAAAAAAAAAAGTACAACCACAACAGCAAACAAACAAAAGGCAAAAAGGACTGATGACATTTTATCAGTATTGTGAATAAACTTGAACACAAAACACAAGCAGTTCCATGTCATATCTTCAGTTGTAGAACTTTTTCCTGTCCAAGGTAAAGCGACCAACTTGAACTTTCTATTGCAACACGATTCACGGTTATTATATAAGGGAATCAGTGTTCATGTATGTATATATTTATTTATGTGTAATTTAATGGGAATTGTAAATATGGTGAGTCTGTTTTAAGCCTTTTTTTATTTATCTGGTGATCTCGTTTACCTCTTGTTTAGTGGGTTTTAAATCTTCCCCTCTTAGTTCATCATGTGGTTCATGGTACTTATTTAGATATCAGAGGTTTTTTGGGGGTTTTTCTCTGGGATTCATCATTTTTAGCCCTGTTGTAGCATGTTAAAGGCGACAATGAAGCAGCTGAACAAATAAAGAACCATGAATTTTTATATATAATTAGTATGACATTTAGTTTCTCATTGAAGATAAAGTGATGTTGGACCCTGGCAAGGTTTTTAAACATGTTAGTGGTTTTACAACCCTTATGTGTTGTGGAAAATGAAAGAAGAAGTTATTTTCATCCACTGTCCTTCTCCCGAAAGCACCATCAGAGCAATAAATTAATATTGTCTTTTAAAACAAGATTTAGCTTTTCTTTCCTTTTTTTCCCCCTCCTTTTTTTTTTTTTTCTTTTTCCCTTTCTTTTGTTTTTCTTTTTCTCCTTTTATTTTTACTTTTTTTTTTTTTTTTTTTTTCCAAAGAACTTCAAACATTCGGGACCACCTGGTATCCTGTGTTTCCACTGGCCATATTGGAAGCAGTTATAGTTGTATTGTATTGAGTTGTGCCGGCAGTAGTTTCCATGCCTATCAATGTATCATAGTCCTTTGTTGCCCAGATAAATAAATATTTGATACGCTTTATGTCGATTTTTTTATTCAGTGGCTGTCTTTACCCAGGCGTATTTTTGTTCTTGGCAGTATTTTTTATTCAGTATGGTTACAGTAATTGAGTTTAACTCTCCCTTGACAATTGCTCCTTGCAATAAGCAGCTGAACCCATTGTTTCCCTCAAGTATAATAAAAACTTACTTTCAACTTGGAGTTCAGAGCAGGGTATCATTTAGATATTCCACTGAGTCTGTATTCAGACAAATGACACAATAAAGCACAATGTATTCTTTTGGATAAAAAATTGTCTGTACTACTAACAAAATGACACACTATCTTTTCTTTAACCAAAACATAATTTTATTTAAAAAATAAAGTTTTATTTTATTTATGTTGACCTCTAGGTTTTTATTTATGTTTATATATAGCATGCTGAATTACAAGCCTATAAAATTTTGTACATGTAGTTGTCCTAATGGAGAGCAGAGATTAAAAAAAAACATCTCAAGAAGGACATTTTAAAAAGAATCATTGCTGAGCAAATACTGAAAATGCGGTGCTATGAAAAAAACCTATATACTGGTGAATCACAGCCGGGTGCTCCCTCCCCCTCAAGAAAAAAGAAAAGCTCTGTAGTCAATGCCAACAAAATCATCTCACGATTGTGAACTTTAGTGAAATCTTGCAGGAGACAGATTATTTCTGATTGATGGTTTGTGTTTTAGTGGAATGCACGGATTGACATTTTGAGATGGTTGTGTCAGTTTATAAGGGACTGAAATTTTTATCTTGAGTTTCTTCTTGTGGAAACCGGTTGTAAAATAGGGAAGTTTGCTTTTTTTTTTTTTAAAAAAAAAAAAGTGTACATCTTGAAGATGGGCTGTAAAAACATGTGAGAATTCAGACTTTGAATCTATTTTCTTTGGCCCAGGGGGTAGGTGAAGTCAGGATCAGGCTGGATTATATTATATCATAGGAAGGGAGGCTAATGCAGTTTAGAATGTAGAGGCATTTTAAGGAGATGGTCTTTAAGTGCTGGTGATATTTTGGTGGTGGTGGCTGATTTTTCTCTCTCCTTCCTTCCCTCCCTGACTCTCTCTGTCTCTCCCTCTCATTTTTTTTTTCCCTTTTTTGCTCAGGCAGAAATTGAGGAGGTTAAGAGAGAGGTGTTTACAGTAAAGCAGCAAAGAGAATTAACATTTGCTCATATATTTTGACGTTTGGTAGGGCTGGTGAAGCAAAGCATTAGATAAAGCCCAAGATGTTTCATTTTGCTTTGGTAATCTACTTATGGAAGGCAGTGTAAAATCAATCTTGCCAAGCAGAAAGAGAGTTGGTGGAGTCTAAATTCTATTTTCAAGAGCCAGCCAGTTTATAAAAATGGTGAATTTTTTTTTTTCCTATAAATTGAAAGTGGATCTTTTGAATGCAAAGCTGCAATTGTTTTAAAAACAGTTATTTATTATTTCCAAGAGAGACTGGTTAACTGTAAAGTAGATGTAACAAAATAATGAGGTGAATGAACCCTAACTGTACATATTCTTGACATAAATGAAATGCACAGTATTGTAGCAGGTGAAGTGAAGCATTGTCTATCAGGGCTGTTTTTCTTGGCTGCATCTCAGATTGTGTGTGGGATCCTAACCTCAGGCACAATAGCATTCATAAACAGCAATACATTGCTGCTCTTTCTACAGCAACACATAAATACTCATTTTTAAACGAAAACAATCTTATTAAATACCATTCATTCATATCTGGATTTACAGATGCTTGTTACTTTTTGAAACCTGTACCCAATATAATCGTTTTATACTGGGCAATGTATAAAGCAGTCTTATGCTAGAACATTATAAGGTCATAATAAATAATGTTTTAAAGATATAATTAGCTACTTTATGCTAGGAGAGTGCATTTTAAGCATCCTGCTGCTGCATTAGCAAGCCACCAGAAAACAGAAATGAAATGACCTTGCATAGATTTCTTTTTTACTATTATTTCTAAGGAAGGATTTTACAGGCGATAATGGAAATCAGACTGGCTTCGGTTCAGCCTCTTCTGCTGTGACCAATATGCAGTTACTAAAACGTGCTAATTACTTTAGCGTTCTTTGGACGCGTTTTTAACGTTGTGATCAAGGCGCAGCAGTGAGATTCTAGGTCACGCTTTTATACACTAAATAAAATCTGCTGTTATTTTTTTCCCCCCAGATTGGCTGAAATGAGGGTGAGCGGTGGCTGAGTGTCAGACCGTTGCTGCCACGCTCAGCTAATTCCTACATGTGAACCAAAATACAGCCCGGCGCTCTTTCACCGTGAACGAGGACAGCCTTCCTCTTTGTACTGTAATTTACCCCACCCTCCAAAAATCGAATATTAATATAATTTGAGATTTAACTGGTGGAACAGCCATCAGGACAGCAATGCCCCGCAGCTGAAATAATATTTAAAATAGAAGGGATTTGACATTTGAGAAGTCAGTGGCTTGAAATACCCAGTTGTACTTAGCTAATTCAGTCCTTAACCTCTGGTTTCAAATAAATCAATTACAGTCGATTCCACTTCAGTTCAGAAGTGCACGAGGTTTTTAGTTAATTGAATACATTTTATTCACTTGCTAGGAGTATTCATTTATCCAAGCCCTTACATTCAAAGGCGATTTCTTTATTGTCCATGATAAATTTGACTGCGTAATCAGATCAGCCCCTTGTTTGTTTACTCGTCTTCTGTCTCGCATTTAGATTCCAGAATGTGCACTTCCCTTTCCCTCCTCGGTACGTGCACGTCTCAGCCCGGACCAGATTCCCCGAGCGCCAGGCCCTCGCGTTCACAAAGGGTCGCTGAAATACCAGGCGCCCTTCCGACGGGGAGCAACGTGGAGCCCGGCCCAGCTAGGGAGGGCAGGGCGATTTAAACCGGCTCGGTAATCAAACGCGAAAGGTCGGGGCTGTAAAAAACTAACTGGCGCCTCTGGTTCCATCCCGGGCACCTTTTCCAAAGTGAAGGGCCGTGTCCCTGCTCCCGGCCCTGCCGGCGGCGGGAGCGCTTAGCTCGGGGCAGAGCCGGTGTCAGCGGGAGAGGGTTTGTGTCGAGCGCTGGGCGATGGAAGTTGCGCCCCTGATCCACTTCGGACGGGAATTGATACACGCTGTACTTCGTGCGTGTTGGTTGCAGAATCCTGCCGGCGCTGGTTTGCTGTTTTGGAAAGGAAAGGGGTTAATTAGTGTCGTTATCAATCACTAATGCTTGTCTAACGTGTCCAAAGAATAATCAAGTTAGGGGACTGCATGAAGCTAACATCTGCTTCATTCCAGCTAAAGATTTTTCCCTATATCGCTCAATTATTGGAAGTCCACACCGGTTTCAGGCTTTGTCAGGGCCATAAAACAGGGTCAGATCGTTAGAAATCTAGAATGAAGGGGAAAGTGCAATAAATAACAAATGGCTTCATTATTTGAGTTACAGGTGCAAGAATGGCCATGAAAATGAGCAGGGATTACTAGAATGTGTTTCTTCTTTTTATCTCCAGTATGGAGGAAAAAAGAAATCCGCCAAGCCCAGTTCTTAAATCATTTATTCTGCCTAGGTTGCAGACTCTTGATTTGCAATATTTAGTTTAGTCACCCCAAACTCCCCAAAACAATAGTTTAAAGCAAGCGATTGGATACAGAGGAAAAGTAAAACTCTTTCATGACCCATTAGTAGTGGAGCCTTACCCGCTTCAGAACAGCAAAATAGCCTTGTTTCTCTTCTGCTAGTTGAAGTCGCTGGGTTTGCTTGGGTGGCTGAAACAGCTGATACTTCGGGCAGGGTCAATAGAAATATAGCTCATGATGGTGGCAAAGATTTGTGTCCTTGAGCTGTTACTCCTCCGTTCTGGTGCTGTAGATACAAAGGTGGCCGATCTGTGGTCTTTTATCCCCTCTTACAGCCACCGGAATCATGTCTCTCCAATGCCGAGTTCAACTTTTGTGGCCTGAAGGGCCAAAATTTCTTATCTAACCAACAGAGTCACTGAGTGAAGGCGCTGTGGAAGTCAGACTAACAGGAGATTTCTGGCAGGGTAGGAGTGACCCGTTGGTTCCCCGTGGCGCTTTTCTTTCAGGGCCCCCACAGCACCCAAAGCCTGTGGTTTCCCCGCACAAGTAGGTGAGTCCCTCCCTCTCGAAACCAGGGCCCGGAGGTGACTCCCAGCTCCGTGTGTGTCATCCTGATCGTAGGCACGGACCTCGTTTGCGCAGACACCTTCAAAACAGGGTAAAGAGGGTAAACTGGAAAAGCGTAGCCTAGGTGAGGAAGAAATCTTGTCTTCGGAACAGGAGGGTGGAGGATTGCTGGGGGTGAAGTGTGAGTTATTTCACCATGCCGTTGCTCGAGTGTGCTGCACGCACACACACGTGCATCCTAGTTTCTATAGGAGATCTGCAGCAGCTACAGAAAGACCTTCCCTGTCCAGAGATGCTCCCAAGCCCCGTTGCTGTTGTTGCCTGCGCTATAGTTAATTCCCTTTGTAATACTCTATTGAGAGCAGATGCAGGGGCTCTGAATAGAGAGCTGTTTTCTAGCAGGAGTGTGGGCTGTGCAGTTACACTCGCAGGCTGAGGGACGTGTATCACTTCTACACCAGGTTTTTGGTTATGTACCTGCCCGCTCGTTCATCCTGCAAAATTTCCCGCTTTGGGCACAGCTGGGCCCCTCCTCTCTGTGTACAATCCACCCGGATCCCTGAAGCTGAGCATAAAGAAGCAGAGGTGTGAAATATTGGGGGCACGTTTCTGGTTGTAGAGCAAAGTGTTTTGGGGGAGCTTCCAGGAGAACGGGAGAGCTGTGTTCCCTTTCCTTCTCCCTCCAGCACATCCTCCTCACCCTCTCCCTTGCTGCTAGGGGCTGCTCCCTGGGCTTGTCCTGTTTCTCCCCTGATGCTGTGGCCATCCCTCTCCCGTGATGGAGGTTACCTCTCTGCCCGGCCAGGGGGGGCAGCTCGGGGAGCCACCCCACGCTGCGGCACGTGCTGGTGCACCCAGACCGGGGAAAGGCAGTGGGGCAACTCTCCTTTCCTCATTAGGCCCAACGAGCTACAGCATAATTGTGCTAAAAAGGTGCTTCTGCCACCCCTGCCCAGGTTTTCGAGCCTGTAGCTCTTAGTACAGGTGTAAGCGACCCAGGCTAGTAGCTGACGGGTGTCCCATTGCCACAGAGCCTGGGTGCAGGCTGCTCCTGGGGTGCTGGTGTTTGGGGGTGGGGGGGCTGGCAGGCTGGAGCTTCTTCCCATCCCTGTGCACCCTTGTGAGAGCTTGCCGCTATGCCGCTGGAAAGGATGGGGTTTTGCAGGGAGTCGGGAAAAGGGAGAGGAAGAAGGAAATGGATATGGCCTGGAAGAAAATCAGATGGAAAAGGGGCGATTGAGGTTTTTGCCCTCTGTCTCCAGGAGAGCCTGGACAGGGCCCTGGGGCGGCGGGAGGAAAGAGATCACCCTGTCCCTCGCTGCAGCTGCTTTTGGAAAGTTTCCTGGGAAAGGGCTGGGGAGACTGAAGCCTCCAGCAGAACTGGCTGCTGCTACGACCCTCTTGGAGGCTGGCTGTTTATTTGTTTGCATTGTCATACCCGAGGAGGTTTTTCACCTAGAGTGCCTCTTTCTCCCTGCCTGCCTGCGTGCTGGTGTGTAGAGCTGCACCACGTATGGAGAGGTGTGCGTGCATCTGCCTTTACGGGTGTTTGTGTGCATATCTATGTATGTATCTTTATGGGTGTGTGTATTTATCTCTCCATCCCTGAGACTTTTGGAGAGGCTGGGAGAAGAGGGGGTGGGGTGGGCTGTCTCCCGGATAGTTGATATTCCAGGTTCAGCCTCTTTCTCCGCTCTCATTCTCTAAACCCAGCCAGGGGGAGTGTCGCCCCAGGCCGAACATATGCTTCTTTCCATTGCACTAATCCACCTTCAGCGTGGAGGAATAATTGCTCGAGTGTCCATGGCTCCTCGGCGCTTTGTCCCTCCCTGGCTCCCATCAGCTTGGCACACGCCATTTCAATCAAATCCTTTCAGAGCCCTGTCTCCTTTTATCACATCCCAGCTCCAGGGAGGGGAGGACCGGGCTCCCCGCAGCCCCGAGCCGGGCTGGGGGTGTCCCGTACCCCCCCCCTCCCCGTCCCCCAACCGGGAACAAAAGGGCCACCGAGCAGCATCGGGCTGAGTTTGCTCTGCCTGCAAAGGCGTTCGAGTATGTTGTTTCTGGGAAAATAAATAAAGGCAGAAGGAAAACGCTATCCCGCCGGATGGTTGGGCTCTTTTTTTTTTTTTTTTTTTTTTGTTGTTGTTTGGTTGGTTTTTTGTTTTTTTTTTTGTTTTTTTTTTTGTTTTTTTTTTTTTTTTATCCTGATGCGGGGAAGAGGGGCAGCCCGGCCCAGCCAAACCGTGCACACCGGGGCAGGGAGAGGGGCTGGGCTGGGGAGGGCGGGGGGGCAGCGGTGTGTGTTTAAAACCTCCACCTCTCGGTGGCTGTGCTGCTGGTGACAGGGCAAGGGCTGGGAATTAGCGGCTGGAAAACTCCCGCGACTCGCCGTGGCCGGGGGGGTTTTCAGGGACCTGCCCTCCCCCCGGTTTTGTCCCCCCCCCCCTCGCCCAGTGGAGACAGCCCCAAGCCGGCGGGACAGAGCCGGGGGGGGGGGCGGTCCTGGTCCTGCCCCCCCCCCCCCCCCCCCGGCCGGTTCGGGGACCCTCGGAGGGTCAGCGTGGGGCCGAGAAGGGGGTTCCGTCTCTTACTTATTTTTGATGCGAAAATATGTTGCGAAGGGGGTTAAAAATTCTTCCTAGGAGCCCCGAGCTGAGGGAGTGAGAGGAGAGGAAGGCAGGATGGTTAACCGAGGGAGATTTAAAATTAGGAGGGGGGGGAAATATATAAAAAAATAAAAATCTTGACATCTTTGTGGGGCCGTTTAGCTCTTTCTCACCTCTCGTTTTTGCGCAGCTGCGTGGGATGGCTGATGGGGGGGCAGCCCCCACCCTGGGCTGGCTGCCGAGGGGCTCCGGGGGAGGGGGTCCTGCCTCCCCCACCGGCTTTTTGGCATCGCCGCAGGTAAAGGACCGAGGGTTTCCCAAAGGAGCGGGATGCCGCCGGGATGCCCACAAGTTCAGCCCCCGGCCGCCCCTCCTTCCATCCCCCCATACACCCTCCAGCGCTCCGAGGCAGCCCGGAGACCCCCGACCCGGGCGAAGCTGCCACGGGAGATGCGAGGGGCTTTGCCGGGACACCCCGGGGGGGAGTGTGGGGTGTGTGTGTCCGGGGGGGTGGGAGCAGAGACGAAGCTGCTGGGGGGGAGAGGGGAGAACCCTCCGGCAAACGAGCGCCGGCGTTTTCTCCTCGCAGTGTTTGCCACCGTGAGTCCCTGAATAGTTTTTAACTAAAGCGTGTGTCTATGCCTGCTGCTGAGAAAAATCGCCTTAAAGAAAAAAAAAAAAAAATCCCCTTTCCACTAGGTTTGGATTTAACCGCAACACCCACAGAAACTGCCTTATGAAAAACAGACTTTTCTATGAAAAGACTCTTCTGGCAGCAATTAGTCTGGCTTTCTTTAACAAAATTCTTTGTAATGTCATTCAGCGGGAAAAAAAAAAAATCCCAGGATAATTTTGATTACCCAGTTAAAAAAAAAGTATAATAATAAAAAATATTAAAATTAGCATATTCGATTTTGCCCGGGGAGGGGAAAAAAATAAATGAAAAAAAAAAATTTAAAGAAAAAGTTTAAATTTCCCTTCGATCGGAAAAAAAACTCGCTGAAATTTTGCGAGGGTGGGTTTTCACGGGGGACAGGCTCGTTGAGTTCCTGTGTGATGGGCGTACAAGGCGTTAGTGCACACACTCGTTACCGACTCCCTTCAGGGGCTTTGCCCAGGCTCAGCCTCACCCCGGCTGGGAAGCGGCGGGCGGGCAGGCAGGAGTGCCACTGCCTCCCGTGGGAGGCTCGTGTCGGGCCCCACGCAGCTGCGCCCGCCCCCTGGCAGGCAGCGCTCGGCTGAAAATCGCGCGGCTGCTGGGCGCGCAGGGAGAAGCGCTGCCCTTTCCCCCTCCCCCAAACCCACTCCCCAGCCCCCAGGGTGTCCCCGAGTGGGTCCCGACCGGGCAGCGGTATCCACCCCGGCTCTTGGCGGGCAGCCCTCTTGCTCCCTGCCCGGGGGGGGGGGGGGAGGAGGAGGAGGGAAGGGGGGGGGATGTCACCCCAGGAGGCGGGGGAGGGTGGGGGTAGCTGCCTACCTGGAAGCCTGTCGCGGATGCTCGGGCAAAGCCAGTCCCTCCGCCTCATCCGCAGGTTTTTGCTACTTTCCCCCCCTCCCTTCCTTCCTCCCTCCCTCCGTGCTCTGGTGAAAGGTTGCATGTTCCAGCCCAGAGATTCAAACATTAAATCACTAAACCAGAGTAGGAAAGGAGGGGGAAGGGGGAAGGGGGGAGAAAAAAAAAGGCGTGTTTATATTTCAGACCTTTTAAAAGGTCGGCTTTAATTAGGTTAAATACAAGTATTATTGGCCCAGAAACACATACTGCAATAAGCTCGTTACAAGCCTAATTGCAACGCAAAATAAAAAAAAAAATAGAGAAAAAAAAAAAAAAGTGCGTGGGGAAAGAGAAGAAAAGCCACACTCTTTCGGCATGACCCACCTCTTCCAGTGCGTGCGTGGAGTTGCGCGGCATCCCCACGCGGGGCGGCCCGTGCAGGCTGCGCTGTGCGCATCTCACACACACACACCCCGGGCCTCCATCCTTTTGGGGTGCGTTTTGCATTTCCCCGCGGTGCTTGGGCTGCTTTTGCAGCTGAGCGGAGCGTGGGGTGTCAGTGCGTGAATGTGAACTCGCCGTGGAGCCCGGTCCCTCTCGACCCTCCAAAATAGCTCCTCTCCTCAGCTGGTCCTGCTCTCTCAACCCCTTGGCAACACAACTTGCGCGGGGAAGGAGAGCGGCGGGGGGGGGGGGAACCATTTGCCCTGAATCACAAATTTTCATGGCTTGGAAAGAAAAAGGTAACCCTCGTGTCTAGCTCAATTAATAAACATGGTGATTTCACACCCAAAAGGCGGACATTATTCCACGGGAGCGCTATCGGCTCCATCACAAAAGGGTCACAGCGCAGCTGTGGCGAGCCCGGGGTTATTATGCAGCCTGATGATAGGATCCCGCTTGCCATCCCGGCTCCTTCCTCGGGGCGACCAATAGCCCCCGGCAGGGCTTGTGCCACCTCATGATAAAGGACTTACCCGATGTGTGAGGAAATGGAGCAGCTTTCAGATGAGAGGTAATCAGCTTGCAGGCGCAGCCCCGACCCCTCGCTCCCCCCCCCCCTCCAATCTCCTGCCTTTCCATTTAACTTTTTTTTTTTTTTTTTTCCCCCACTCCTCCCCCCAAACAACAAGTTATTTATTTATTTGAACGCAAACCTGGAGCTCTCTCTCACCTTCTCTGGCCCCCGAGGGGAGCAGAGGCAGGAACACCACCTACCCCCCCAGCCCCCCCACGGCCGCGGGTGGCAGGAGGAGCCGCCTCCCCTCACGGAGGGACAGTTGCGGCTGATAGATTTTTCTGGTGTCAGGAATTGGGTCCAGAAGCTGCGAGGCAACATATTAACTGCGATCCCATAATCTCTTAATCACATTACATTTTAAGTGAGCATGTGTAATTTCACCCATCAATGATTTATTTAAGCAAGGGAGCACAATTACTCGTCTCGCACACAAACGCTGGCTGAGGGGAGCATTGTTTGCCAGAAATAAAATCTGCGCTTTCAGGGACTCTCTGTTTCTCTGTGCTGAGGACCCACGCTCCTGAGGACACGAGTAACCACGGCTGATCCTCCCACCCAGGCAAGGCGAGGGCGAGTTTTCCGGCCCCCCCCCCCCGCTTTTCGCCCCCCCCCCCCCCCCCCCCCCCAGCCCGGCAGCAGGACCCGGTGCCCCGGTGCTCTCCGCAGGCTCAGGGGAAACCTCCGGGGAAGTCAAAGGGAGGTTTTTTGGGTGGGTGGGTGGGGGACGGACACCGTGTGGATTTGTCCCTTCTGCACCGTTTTGACTCCGGCAGGTACAATTTCTGGGCAGAGATGACCTTACGCGGTTTCGCTCTTCCCGGATCCTGCGGGGAAGAAGAGGGAAAGGCGAGTAACCTCCCGGCTCAGTGCTGAACGCCAGTCCCGGGCGTTTTAATCTTCCGGTTCTGGTCGGGACATCTCCGGTGTCCTGAGAGCCGCGGGACACCCTACATTTTGGCACGCCAATCCCCGTCCATCCCCCTCCCCGCCAGACTGGGCCGCCCCTCTAAAATTGCCCCGAGAAGATCAACGCGACGTTTCGGCGGGAGGTCAGCGCCCTCCAGCCTCCCTTCTCCTCGGCCCGGGAGCCAAACTTGCTGCCGAGGGGCCGGGACGGGGACCCGCTTCCCCCCCACCCCCCCCCCCCCACCCCCGGGCTGCGGGGCGGCATCCCCGCCCATCCCCGTCGCATCCCGCCTGGGGACGGCGGCCGCCGCTCCGCGCCCCGCCGTGTGCCTGCGGCGAGGGGCGGTGGGCGCTCAGGGACACCCCCCCACACACACCCCACCCAGACCATCCCACGGCCCCCCCCCCCCCCCCCCAGATTCCCCTCTCCCCCTGGGTCCCGCCGTGCAGCCTGGCCCCAGCGCCAGGTTGGGAACAGCTCAGCAGCTTTGTTGTTATTTATCGTTATTATTGTTGTTATCACTATTAACGCCCCCCCGCAGATTGCTCTGTGCGGAGTCGCCGCCCCCCCGTGCCCGCGGCGAGGAGGGACAGCCACCCGAGAAACGCGTGGGGCTGCCCGGGAGCCGGTGCCTTCCCCAAACCCGGCTGGGCGGTTCCAAAGGTTTTGTTCTACACGTGCCGGTATTTTAATAAATCGTCGATGCAAGAAGGTGCCTGAGAGAGAAAATCTTCGGCTAAAGAGAAAGAGACCTCCTCTCCTTCCATTAGCTTTTTAAATTATTATTTTTAATTTTTTTTGCCACTTTATTTCTTGGAGCTGCCTTAGTCAGGCATTTGGCAGATTTAACGTTGCAAAGGAAACAAAGAAAAAAAAAAAAGAGTAATTACATTTTTGGAAAACAAACAATAATTACACGATACAATCGGTATAACAGTAAGCGAAACACAGCAGCGGGAGTTAGAAACAATATTCTAGCCATGGAGATGGGCTCTGCCGCTGACTCAGCGGTTTTTGAATACTCCAAATTATCCTTACATCGGAGTTCTGTAACGTAGTTCAGCTGCAGCCTATTGGCTTTTAAATTAAAACATATCTTACTGATTAGGCACGTATTAGCGCCCAAAAAAAAAAAAAAAAAAAAGAAGAAAAAAAAATGAAAAAAGAAAAAATAGAAAAAAAAAAAGAGAAAAAAGAAAACAAAGAAAAATGAAAAAAAAAGAAAAACAAAGAGAAAAAAGAAAAAATAAAAAGAAAAAAAAGAAAAAAGAAAAAAAGGAAAGAAGGAAGCACGTTTCCCAAGGTAAAAATAATTCTGGTGGATCAGGAATATTTCACAAGCACTGCTTCCTGGTGTGTGCAAAGCAGGGGAGGCACGCTGGCACGGGCAGCCCCCGCTCCGGGGCTGGGGCGGTCGGGGGGGGTCTCCCTCTGTCCCCCCAAATTGCTGCTGCACCTGTCACCTGCCAGAGCGGTAACTTCACATGCCCCGCAGCTGAGACTTCACGTTGGGGAACATTATTCCATCACCAAGTGACATAAACCCCCCCTCTCCCTCTGGCCTTCTTCCCCCCCCGGCTTTTTGCTCCCCCCCCTCTCTCCCGCCCCGGTTTGCCTGACTTCCACACGAATATTTGGGATGATCTCTAGGGTGACAGAAAAGTTGTGCAGATGCATTTTTTTTTTTCCTAATTAACCATTTTTTTTCTATCTTTTTTCCAACTGACTCAATTTTATTTTAATCGAGAGCCCTTAGGATTAGTTGTAATGATATGAATGGTTAAAGTGGGAAGGGCTCAAGGCTGGAAAATGCTGTCTCCTCAGAAGAAAATATCAGACATCCCACAGAAATAACTGTGCAGAGTGCAGGTCTTATATAGATGGAAAGAAATCGTAGGGCTGTCAGTGTAATGTGAAGCCTACATGAAATCTAGCATTTATTCAATCAAACCATCATACTGCTTCCCATTAAATGCCAAATCAAAAAGAAAAGGAAAAAATAAAAAAGACAAAAAAGGAAGAGATGAGAGAAAATAAAAATTAATAATAAAAAGAGTCTTTTCCCCCAAATGCTGACTCCCACCACTGAAAGGTGTGTATCCCAGAGAAAAGTTTTGAGCTGTGCCGCTGCTCAGCCCCGGTTTTGCTGCCGGGACTCCCGAATCCCCGGGGAACAGGCGCGCGAGCGACGAGAACGGCAGCAGCAAATACGAGGCACCTCGTCGCCCGCTCCTTTGAAAACAAACCCGCTCTATTTTTCATCAGGCAACCCCAGACAGAAGTAGCAACTAAAGCTTTAAACCCTTTGGAAATTCCTTTCTGAATTAAGAGAGCCAGGGGGCTTTCGTTCTCTCCCTGCCGCTGGTGGCGAGGAAGGGCAACAAAAGAGGTAAAATGCCTTCTCCAACTAACTGGCTCAGTGTTTCATATGCATCAAAGGGAAAGCAAGAGCTAATCTGAAAATGACCACTTTAATGTACGTGAACCCATGGCTACAGCAGCAGAAGTGAGGGGGATTTTGAACCCTCCACCACAACAAAACCTGACGCTTAATGTCATAATAACAGATATTAAACAAAGGGGAATGAAAGGATCTCACGCTGGTTTTTCTGCATTCTTGAGTCTAATTAAAAATATAAAGAAAGAAGACAAAGTTTGGGTCAAAATGGCATGAGAGTTGCCTTGTGCCAGTGAAGGGGCTGCAATTAGCAGCTTAGAGGCCAGATCCGAGAGATTTTATTCGCTCTTCAGCTCCAGGGGAGCCGAAAGCCAGGGCAGGGGTGAGGGTGGGGTGGACACGTGCCTGGCCAGGGCTGGAAGGGCTGGGAGAAGGGGGCTGAGCAGCCCTTGTCCTCTCCTTTCCCCTTTCCCCAGACAGCAAAGGAGGACTAAAACAAATAGACAGAGCCCCGGCAAACCTTTCTTTCCTTTTTTTTTTTTTTATTTTTTTTTTTTTTTTAATTTTTTGCTTTGGAGGCCACTCAGACAGCCCTTCCATTCAAATGGAGCCGGGGTGTTTACTTAGTGTCAGGTTGTGACTGGATTCTGCCTTTGGGGCTGGGAGGGGGGAAGCCTGTGGTGAGCAACAAGTGCCCTGCATGACAATATCTCCC